AAGCGTTAGAACCTGGAAGGCTTAGCCGCTCCACACGTTTGTTGTTGGCTTGCCCCCCCCCCCCCCCCCTTTGTTTCAATTTGATCCCGACGCCTGTGATTTATGCCCTTCAGTGTATTTGAATTCTTGGAGGACTGAGAAGGTATTGAATCAGTATTTGTTTTAACCTTTAAGTTTTTATTTTCAAAAACTTCCAAGACAGAGAAACGAGACATTAGCAACCTCAGGACTTCATATGAATAGAATTCTATTACAGTTTCTTATCATACAGAGTCGGATTTCAGCACTATTCTATAGCCAAGGCCAAAACTAATTAACTATTCTTTTGCCAAGGCCAACACTAATTAAAAGTGTATATTTACATTGACCTTCATATCTTTTCTACAATTCTTATTTCTGTACGCGACTTGTACTGGTCACTGAAATTCACAGTATGAAAAATAATTACACTGTAACGTGTCATAATTTTTACTTTAAAAAAATCTGATTTATACTGCTTCAATGTAACAGCCTCTCTTTATACTTTTTTCGTGCAGCTGTATATGGTTGCATTTCAAATTTTCAATCTTCCGACTCCCGTTAGAGACGTCGTCGAATGACGTCAGTGAGTCTGACTGATAATTACTCTTGATGGAAAACGTGAAGACGAAGAACAGTCATCAATCTAACAAAAATATATAAACAATACAAATCTGTGAAGAGGGAATAAAACACTACCCCTTAAGATTCCAGAGGTGGGATCAGGTACCCAGGAGGAGTAAGCATCCCCTGCTGACCGGTCACACCCGCCATGAGCTCTGTATACTCATCCAGTAGACGGAGCGTTCCGTAGTCAAAATCAGTGTGAAAACAATGAAAGACCAAACAATTGATAGTCATCCAAAACAAACATCGTCGGATACCCATTGGTGCAGGCACGTAGCATCGATTTTGAAAGTGGGGGGGGGGGGGGCACCAAAAAGTTGACAAGCAAAAAAAAGAAAAAAAGGGAAAATTGCATCCAAAGTCGAAAATCCTATTTCTTGGGGGCTGGGGGGGGGGGGGGGTTAGAGGCAAGCTTTTTTCACTACCAGTTCCTTTCAATATCCATTTTTTAAGCTTACAATACTATATTTCCTTCATATTAATTTACTTTAGTATAAAGCGGGGGGGGGGGGGGGCAACCACCCGATAAAAGAACAATTACAATAGGAAAAGTAATTTTGGCAAAAAAGTGGGGGGGGGGGCACGTCCCTGTGGTGATCTCGTCTTTT